ACGGTGTATTAGATAATTAAAGTGAGGACTTGAACCCAGGAAGCAGGCTGACAGATTTTCTTCCCAAAAAGCAGAGCTTGAATTTAGTTTCTCTGCACAGGAGAGTGAGTCACGGGCTCTGAGAATGTCACTGTTCTGCAGGGGAGAGAATGTTAGGGGGAAAAGGCTGTCCCAAAGCTAATTCCATACAGGCTTTGTGGACTCCACCCCCACCCCAGGCCAAAGCCAAAGACACCGGGAACTCCACATCCCATCCCCACCCAAGGGAAGGTGGCTGGGACCTGAGGGTGGGGTTCAGCAGCCAGGTGGATAGAAAAGGCAGACACGTGGGCTTTGGGGGGGGGGGTCCCCCATTTTGGCTCTCCGCCAGCTCGCAGCATCCAGCCAGCTGAGAGTGCCTTTGGGTTTCCAGGTCGGCGGATCGGGTAGGACGCGTTAAAGACTTTATTTCCCTATTTTCTCCCTGAGTTGTACATTTTCCTTATTTCCTTTTCCCTTGTAAATAGACCTTTTATTAACCCTTCTGTGTGTGCCTGTGGTGGAGTATTCATAAGTCCCTTTTAAGCGCGCGGGTGAGGACCCACAGCCAGGAACCCGTTTAATATCGGGGCTGCTCTATAACAAGACCATTCCAGGCCGCCCCGACCTCGCCAGGTGCTGATGCTGGAGGGTTCAGTCTCCTCCTTTCTACAGAACACCCCGTGGAGAGGCCAAGGCTGAGTGCCCCGGGTTCAATCTTCACCCTCCGCCTCCAGGGGCGACAGCGGGGTGAGGAGCCCGCCCGGCTTCCCCTTGGGGACAAATGCCCGGGACAGAACAGGGGGGGCTGCTCAGGCCCGGCGTCTGGGAGGCGGCTTTGCCCTCCCGCCTGCTACACCCGGGGCTCAGAGCGGGGCCGCCAGCCCCAGACTATGTTACCTGTGGTCCCCAAACTCTAAGGTCCAGCCACCGTGATAAACACTCAGGGCAGCGGAGCGGAGCCCAGAAACCACCCCAGGTGCCTCCGGTTCAGCAGCAGGCGCCGGGGAGGGGGCAGCGCGCGCAGAAGGGGCCTCTCCAGCCGCGGGGGTGGGACACGGGGGTCACGCTCAGGAATGAACCCGGACCCCTAAGTTCCTCCAAGCCTAAGAATAAGCCCATTAAAGCTCCCCAGTTTCCCATGTGCACTGGGTCCTCCAAGGGGGACCCCCCGCGCAGTCAGGCACCCACAGGGACAAGTTCTCACCGCGCCCTCGCCTTTGGCTCAGCTCCTCCTCTTTCCACGCAAGGAGCCCCCACATCGAAGCGCAGATGCGGCCTCCTCCGCGCTGGGTCCAGAAGAGACCAGGTTCCCCTCCGGCACCAAGTGCTCTCCAAACTGGGGGAGCAGCCCGCTGCAGAGAGACCTGCGTGGGCTGCGCGCATGCACTGGTCAGAGGGGCCGCGCAGGTGCCGCGGGCAGGTTGGGGTGCGCAGGCTGGACACACCCCCAACACGCTCCTGGGGGCCACGCCCGCCCAGCAGGCCCGCTGTACCCTGAGAGTTTGGAGGCAAGTTATCCACGTCTTCTCCAAAAATACTGTCAATGAAAATTCCAGGAGGCCACTAAAATGGCAAACTGGGTCTACTTGGATTTTAAAGCTTGCTCAGGTTATTCAGCAGCGACCATGATGATTCAACCAACCCGACCCTCACCGGGGTGCGCAGATTCAGGCCTCGCTCTGCGCTTTGCCCAGCCCCGGGGCCTCGCTCGCTGCAGCATTTGTCACCATCCTCTGCTGTCCAGCAGTACCCGTCGCCGCCTCTCTGAGTATTTTTTTAATTTTTTTTTTAAGATTTTTTTATTTGTGCATACAAGAGTTGGGGTACAGGCCAGAGATGGGGGGTGAGAGGATTCACCAGAGACAGAGTGGGGAGCAGAACAGGCAGACTGACGAAGTACACTGCTGAGGGGAGCAGCGGGCGAGACAGGAGAGGTCTGCTGCACCATGTGGGTAGCTCCCTGGCCAGGGGGAGAGCCCCGCGATAAGAACTTGTGCTGCAGAGGCTGTGAACAGCTTTACAGGTTGCGGCTTAACCCCATGTGCCAGCAGGGGGGCACTGTTGGCATTCTTATTAATACCATCTTAAAGAAAGTGATTGGCGCAATGTGTAAATTCTTCCTGAAATGAGATTCCTGCTCTCCATACAGATGATTCTCAGTAATAACTATCATCTAAAACTTTTTAAGTGCTTATGAACCCAAAGTGCCACTTGACCCCAAACAACAACTGTGGTTTTGCTGTTACAATCATTTTTCTTAAACAAGGAGAAATAGGAACACCATGACCTACGGCTTCTGTTGGCTGTTCAGTTTATGTCTGCCACACGTGTTCTGCTTGTCGGTAAATGTATTCATTACCTAAAGGAGAAAGTTAATTAAATTTGAAAAAAAAAAGCACTTAAATCTGTTCCTTCAGAATGTAAGAGTGTGAGCTCCATAGATAGGACAGAGGAGGAAGAGAAGACCTTGAGGAGGCACATGGAGCAGAGAGACATGTGAAGAAGAAGTCGTGCTTGCTTCTCGGCCTTGGACTTACACCAGGGACTTGGGGCACCTGAAAGGGGACACTTGACAGAGACAGAGACGTGGGTGAGAGACCAGGGGGAGGTTGCCAATGGTAGTCTTTATCTTGACCTGGATTTTGATTTTGCTCTTTTGCTTCCAAGCTGACCTGACCCCTCTGTCCCTTTCCTGTGGTCCCACCGGCCCCCAGAAGGCTCCCTAGACTTGGGGCAGCTTTCAGGCCTAGTGGCCCTGCTTTGGGCCAACCCTTTTGACTGGGCATGTGCCACGAGGGGATGGGTAACTGGGTGCTTGATTTGGAAGCTAATCTTCCTTCTCTTTCTCTTCTTTTTATTGCACACTCATTGTGTTGGTTTCTATTGAAGGTCATATGTGCTAGTAGTTTGTCTTTATGTGGCAGATGGCATTTCTTCTGCCCAATAGCAGATTTGGTGCCCAATGTGGAAGGAATTTAAGCCATCCATGGTTAGTCAGCCCTATGGAGAAAGTTGGCTTCCCCATGGCACTGGCTAACTGTAAGTGCAAAAGTGCTTTTTGTTTCTCTGCTGTGTGTTTCGGATACATGTAGATTTGCTTCCTGACCCTTACATTAGGTAAAGTGACTTGCTTGGACCTGTGCATACTTTGTGTATATGTGTGCAATTTGTTTCTGTCCATTTTCACTTGTGTTTTGACTCTACTATGGCTTAACGTATTTTTTTGTGTGGTCAAATTTATCAAGCTCATCTTTATAGCATCTGGAGTTTTAGTCATACCAAAAGTCCTTTTGCTGCTCAGCTCAGATGTTTATTCACGTTTTCTTCTTATTTGTGCAATTTCATTTTACATGTGAATCTCTGATTCATTTGGCAATTATTCTTGTGTATAGTGCCAGAAGTAGATCTAATTTTTAAAATGACTATCCAGTTAGCCCCAGTAATTTGGGGGTAACCTTTTTATTTTTCATCATAACTTAGGTTTCTATAGGCATTTGGGCCTGTCTCTGACTTCTTATTCCACTGGTCACTTGGTCTTTGTAGGCACTAGTACTGTGCTGCTGTGATAATAGAGCCCTTGTAGTCTGTATTAGTATTTTATAGGATTACTCCTCCTTGATACAAGATATATATTTAAAAGAGGTGTTGTAACAGAATATCTGTGGGCTGCTGGGAATGACCAAGTAGAGAGCTGGACCAAGAGAGAGGGTGGGTAAATGGCTGGGCAAAAGTGGAGATGGATTTGGGGCCTCCCCGGTGGCACACTGGGTTGAGCGCAGCGCTGTGAAGCTGTCTGTAGCCTCTGCAGCGTGCAGGTTTGATTCCTGGCCGGCCAGGGAGCTACCCACAGTGCGGGAGACCTCTCCTGTCTCGCTCACTGCTCCCCTCAGCAGTGTTTTCGGTCAGTCTTCCTGTTCTGCTCCCCACTCTGTCTGTGGTGAATCCTGTCACCCTCCCATGCCTCTGGCCTGTGCCCCAGCTCTTGTCCAAATAAAAACAAATCTTTAAAAAAAAAAAGTGGAGATGGATTCAAGAAGTCATCGATTTGTTGATAAGAATTCTCCTCTGATTTTGAACCACACTCACCAGTTGTGTGCGGGCAAGAGGAGGAGATGAGGGTGTGCCACGTGCAGAGGTGGCTTGGGGGTGACTGGGGGATTGCTTTATATTGCTGAGCCAACTTGAGGTTTGTGGTAAGTAAACGGAAAGTAAGACCGTTTGAATGGTTATGTGTTCTCCTTCTAACCTTATACAGAAGTTTGAGTTTGAGAGCTGAGTAAACAAGAAATTGAGGTTGAAGAGTTGGGATTTAGTCATCCAAGTATGACAAATGGAGAGAGGGGGCATGTAGAGGAAGGAGTGTGGGTACAAGTGAACAGAATGATGGGCCAAGGGTCCACATTGGGTGGAGGGGGAATGAGTCTGTGGTTGAGGTGGGTGGATGTGAAGAAGCTGGGAGTGTCAAGGGCTTAGAGATCCTGAAGGGGGTCTAAGAAAGCTTGGGGTCTTTGGAAGGGGAGTAATAATAATAATAATCCTGGGTAATGATCTAGAGTATGATCTCCAGAGGGGTGGATAAGGTAGCATAAAAGAAATGATGTCAACAATATACTTAAACACTGAAGATTTGCACTATTAGTGACAGAGAAGGAGAGCAGAACATTCTCATGAATTAGGGGCAGTGGCTACAGGAGGGTGGAGATGACTAGTCCATGAATCATTCCTCAAATACCTGAAGAGCTGTAGCCCTAGTATGCGCCAGTGCTGCCACCCCTACAAATCTCCTCATGGTATAAATTCTATTATGGAAAAGATCCTGGGATTCCTCTGTGGTATAGATGAGGTAAATGAAGAGTATGGTTGTCTTGTAAGAACTCAAGGCCTAAACTATCAAAGGGTTAAATAGGCAAAACCCTATTAAAACCACAGACACTGTGGCTGCATGGAGAGGCACAGAGCACCCCAAGGACAGACACCTTTGCTTCAAAATCAAAACCTTAGCTCTTTCTCCAAGAGTTCCCATGTGGAAAACAGCCCTCCTACTTCAAACTTCCTTTTCCACCCAGCTTCCTAAGATAGCCTCTGAAGTCAAATACTGCAGGACTATGGTTCCTACCAGGTGAACTGGATCTGATCCACCTTCAGAAGTCCAAATCTTCTGTAATTATCTCTGGCTTCATTGGTGGCCCCTGTGTGGCTTTGACCATGCAGCTGAGACTGTCCATACTGAAGTCAGATGACAAGAAAAACCCAGGTCTTCCTGAGGGAAAAATAATATGGAAGCCATTGATTGCAGAGGAAGCAGGAATTGTTAATGGACTTAACGATCGCATCCCTGTGTAAAGGGCAAATGAGACCTGTGGAGCAGAAGATCTTGGTCTTTGTTAAGAATGAAAGATTAACTCAACCAACTATGGTGCTAGAGATGAAAAGAGATCAATGTTATTTTCAGTCATAACACAGAGACATTTGGAAGTTTGTGTAGAGGTGGAAAAAAAGTGTGCCCTGGGATTAGGGGTCCATTGGCTTATGCTCACATGGAGTGAGAACAGGCAAGGAAACTCTTCTTCTATGCTACGTCTCAGAAGATCCTTGTGTGTGGGGGGAGGTAATGGGCTGTCAGCTCTTCCTTTTACACTGTAATCTACCAATGGAATTGACATCCAAGGTTAATTAGACGGGACTCGGATTGGGGTTGAATAGGGGGATATGAGGGGGAGGGGAGGTTTCAGACAGCTATACCCTCTGGGCTCCTTGACTCAGAGAGAGATGGTGCTTGGGGATTACCAACTCCTAATCCCCATCTGAAAGCTATGCCTCAGATTTTGTAGAAACACACACACACTCCAAATACAGGCATATCCTCAGCTTCAGAAACCCAGTTGTCGTTTTTCTCACCCAGACCTAAGCAGCAGCTATAGACCCTCTACTGAGGTCCTAAATAAAAGAGAAGCACCTCGTTAAACAAAGATCATTCTTTGAACCCCAAACACTAACGTTTGCTAAAAAAATACAGATCTATGGAAATATCCTTTTATAAATAAAGGCTCCCCAAATCCTGCATCTCCCAGTTTTTGGAGGATTATGTGTGTTTACAACAACCAGCTGTAGGCTCAGCACCCACAGGTTGCAGAACAAGACAGAGGATCCTATATGGAAACTCTGCTTAATTCGGGTGGTTTTGGTCACACCCCTCCCCAAGACACACACATATACAAGCATATGCACTGTCCTTTTCTAACTGGGACCGGCTTACTATACTTCAGACACTGCTGACATCTTAGCTTTTGCTCCCTATGTCTCATCTCTCCTTTTCCTGGTTGATCGACCTCCTTTTCCTGGCATATCTTTTGGTCTCATGTCCCCACTCAAGCCTGTCTTTGGAATCGTAGGCAGTTGATTATATTATCCTGTTTATATATCCATTAAGGTCTGTTCTGTTAGTCATGAGAGACAAGAATGACAGCCTTGAATTTACAGGCATCACAGAATTTTGCTCTGTGTAAGTATGTGTGCTCTTGAAGAGCTGTCATTAGCTGACTTGCCTCTTTATTGTGCAACTGACCACAGACAAATTTGATTTCGCTCTTCTCTTTTGGCTTGACTCTTACTTGTATTACCTGAGGACCTTTACACATTAAGTTTTGGAGGCTCTAGAAGCACAGGGACCCTGATCCCTCATCAGCCTAAAGACAATGTGAGACAGATTCTGAAGCCCCAGTCAGGGAAGAAGCTTCAACTATGGATCAGACATATGGGAAATTTCAGACATATGCTTATCATATCTCACAGGGCCGTTTGGGCCAAGTCTTTGGGCATCAACTTCCTCAGGTATAGAAGTAGACAGCGTACTGTCACCGGTGAGTATTGTAAGGATTCGATGGTGTGATGTGAGTCCAGTGAGCACCATGCTCTTTCTGGTTCCAGTGACATGTGCTTTCTGTTTCACTGTGGGTTGAGAGTCTTGCAAATAAAATTCTTAATAAACCGTCAGTGCTTTTGCGCCTGATGTTCCCTCGCTGCCATAACCATCAGCCAGGAGCACTGTCTTCTCTGCTCTTCCTCGGCAGCTGCTGCAGGTCTGTTCAGGTGGGGGAGACCTCTCCTGGCCTTCTTCAGAACCATCATTTGTGCGATTTCCCCAGGGCTACAAACAGCAAGGAAATGAGGGAAAGCAAGCAACATCTGCTACTAAACAAATACCATCATCTTACAAATGACTTGTCTCTGGGATAATGATTCTTGCATATGTGGAGCAGAAGGGAGTCGACACCAGAACCAATATCCTAGAATAACCACCTGAAAGGCAGCCATAGGTGTCTGTAGTTACTGACAGTCCTACGGTATCTGTAGTTAAATTCCTTTTTGGGAAAAAGTACAGGGGCTGATGTTCGTAGCTTTTAGTCACACCAGACAGAAAGTTAACCCCTTGCTCTCGGTTTGAAGAGCAGAATTCTGCGAACATAGTTATGTTAGTGTCTCCTGCCTTATTCCTTTGCACTGGCAAACATCATTTCTGTTTCTCTGTGTGGGTAGCTGGGATTTCCTGAAATGTCCCTAAGCATCATAGAGAGATTTATGCATGTAAATGACTAAGCCAGATGCTTTATGCATTTTCTGGTTACTCCTGGTATTATACCCCTAAAGAAGAAATATGTTAATGAATCATCAGTAACACTTAACTCCAATTAAGCTGTGCTGGGAATGTCCCTGGGCCAAATGGTGATGGAGAATTTTGTCTTTAGCATCTACTTTTTTATGTTCTCTCTATTCCTAGCTTGATTTTTCCTCTCTCAACTGAAATCCATTACCTGGTCCCATGTGAGGCAACCAGTAGCCTCATGCAGACCCAAACCATCAAGGATCTATTTTGCAAGCCTCAGACAACCCTGCTGCCACCAGATGTTTCACACCATGACATAATTGAGAGGCTGTACACTGACAAACATAGATGTGTTTAATTTGACTTGCATAGTGTTTTGAGCAAAAATAAATCATTTGTAGCATTTAAGAGATTTTATATAAATATCTAAATTTTCAACCTTAAATAAATTTGAAAGATTTGGCAGCACTGGGTTAACATTTTCACATGAACAATTGACCATAACTGAGTACTGATTGCTCCTTTAAGGTGGGCCATGACTGTTTAGTTTACCATAGTCTCCACTACTCCTTACTGCCTCCCTTCCCACATAGGCAAAATTTATCAGAAGGCAACCTGCTCTTTTTATTCACTCACTTTTACTTTCTGCTTTGGAAATTCCAAGCTTCCTCCTTCCTCATTTGCTTCCCTCTAAACCCTGCCAATTTGTGCCCATTTTCACAGCTATTATTTTTCAATGACAGCCCAAGAGATTCTTATTGAACCAGCAAACTCAGAAAAAATACCCATATCTTTATCAGTTAAGTGTGGTCATGTTGAAAGTAGGCTGCTTAAAAACTAATCACAAAATCTTTGCAGGCTCACAGCATAAAGACTTTATTTAATTCAAATGGTGTGCTCAATGGGCCAAAATCAGTGTTCCAGGTGTGGTTTAATTGGAGGAGAGAGGGGAAGTAGCTTTGCTCCACATATCTCTCATATTCTTCCTTGGACTAATGGGTTAGCCTGGACAAGTTCTTATGGTGCAAGAGAGAATTGGCATACCTTTTTGTCTCATTCTATTGATCAAAAAGTCACATGACCAACCCCCAGGGTCAAGAGGTAGCAGATATTTCCACTCACAGCTCAAGGTCACAGTGAAGTTACAAGGCATGTGTGTAGGAAAGAGTTAACCTTACCTAAAAAGAAACCTGGTCTATACCATTGGACACCAAGAAGTGATTGCGAGGGTCCTGGTCTATCTTGGCTGATAGATAAGAGTGTCTTTGTTTACTTGTGAATTCCGGCCACTTGTCTAACAATGAGATTTCCATTGGGAGCTTTATATGGAGGTAGGAGTATTCTTTCTCTGGAAAGATGAGACTAAAGGCCAGTGGTGCAGGTGAGTATGTGATTGAGTCTCAATAAAGCCTCTGGACACTGAGGCCCGGTGAGCTTCCTGGTTGGTAGCATTACATGGTGTTGTTACACTTCATGACCAAGAGGAGGTATCACCACGCATGACTACAGGGAGAGGGAAAGCTTGTATCTGGACCCCTCCTGGATTTTGCCCCATGTGTCTCCTCCATAGCTGATTTTAATCTGTCTACTTGCCTGGTCTAAAACCATGACTGTGGGTATAATATGGGTATAATATTTATCAGTGAGTTCTGTGAGTTCTGGTGAATTACCAGAACTGGTTTGGGGAAGTCCCTGAACTTGAGTTGTTGCCAGGAGTAAGGGTATTCTTGAGTGGGCTTTTCCCTAATTTTGCAGTTATCCTAAACTCTCTTACCCAGCATGGAAACAAGGAGGGATGAAAATATAAGCTGATAATGCAAATTACCAACATAGCACTATGAAGTACATTTTTATTTATTCTTCCATTAGGCAGACATTTATTAAGTACCTACTATGTGCCCCATTGTCGTATCTGGACCTGAGACTAAAACAGGTGCATAAAGACACAGCCTTAAGTTTTAAAGGAGAAAATAAGACATGAAAAGCAAACAAATATGTACAATAATGTCAGACTGTGGAAAACATTATAGAGAAAAACAAAGCAGAGTCAAGTAGATGGTGGGAGTTAGCTCTTTTACACAGGGTAGTTAAAAAAACAATCTCTGAAAAAGTGACGTATGAACAGATTGGAGTAAAATGACAGAGAAAGTCAGGTTATGGTTCAGGGAAAGAAGGTTCTAGAAGGGCAATTACGCAAGCCAAAGACACAGGAAGCCGCGTATGAACAGAGCACTCCAGTATGGATGTTGCCATAGTGCAGGGAACCCATCCCAGGGAAGGTTTTCTTCACCTGGAGGTTGTGATTTGCCTCTGAGGAACCTGGGCCAGAGAGAAGAATCTCCTCCCAATGTCCTCAAACCAACTCAGAGGCCAATTTTTTTTCTTTTTTCTTTTCTTTTTTTTTAATATTTGTACATCTTGCATAGTTTGTGTGACTTCTTCCTCATTTCATCCCTCACAGAGGATGAGCAACATCTCCCAATGTCTCTAGCTTATCAAAGGGAAAAAAAAAATGAAAGCAAGAGAAGTACAGAAATAACTTATTTCTATTTATTTTGTTCATTAAGTGATGAACAAATAAGACCTGGAAAGTACAGGGTGACGAAGAAGTAGCCGAAAGGGAAAAACCTAATGGGGAAATTTTATTAAAAAACATA